CCGGACACTCTAGGTGATCCGGACCGGAATCCGGACAGGGGGTCCGCGTCGGTCCGGATATTCCGGAACATTTCGGTTTCCCGGAACTCCGGAAGGGCCCGGGAGGTCCAGGGTCCGGGGTCCGGATTCGGTCCAGTGTCCGGTCCGGCGTAGCTATGCTTCAAACAAATTGATCATTTGAGACCTCCCATTCGAGAACTTGGCCCCTGGTTCCCTTGGCCGGTAGGTGATATGGCATGTGACTGCTGTGGTCGTGGCACTGTCTTAGGATTGGAGTGAGGGCGGAGTGTTAGCTTAAAAATAGAGGCCCTATTAGAGGGGAATTATTGATCGACTTTATCTGAGTGCATGATTTGCAGGTGGTGTGTGTGGTAAGCAGTGAAGTTCTTGAATCGTGCTAGGTATCTTCTGATTAACGTCTCGTCCTCTCTCGTGTCTCTGGTTTCGAATGGTCTTCAGGTGGAGCCAAGGTCCTTTCCAATGCTTGCGAACTGGCGGCGAGATTTCACAATGGAGAACATTTTGACAGAGTTGAGGCGTGAGATGCAGACTGGACAGAACCGGAAATTGCCGCAGCCTCCGGAAGGGAGCACGTTCACATGCTGATGTGCGATGTAGCGAGAGGTTGGATTGGATGTGTGCTCGGGAGAATGCTGCAAGGTGTGCCATGAGCAATATGCCTGTCATTTCATTTTATTGAAGAAGCTTCCCAACCAATTCTAGAGGATGGAGGATCGACCTGCTTTCGACTCCCCGTTTAACAGTCCTGTCGTGCTGTAGGAGTGTTGGTGGGTTGTGTGTGATCGATCCGTCTGTCAGATTGATCAATCCGTCATGCTAAGTGATGAAATTGAGTAAGTGAATCTTGAAGGAATCCGGCCTGGCAGATGAGAATGGTGGGCAGCAGAGTATCTCCTGCTGTGGTCAGTAGTTTCCTCTCCGGCTTGTTTGATTGCTGGGTGATTGTAGCCGATCTGTGTGACTAATGGGTTGATTGGTTGTTGATGAGTGGGTTTCTGGATGGTAGTGTGCGAATGATCATGACAGGCTTCCGGAGCTGCAAATGAACACTGTACATTTCTATCTTAAGGGTAAGAGAATGCATCAGGGGTCCACATTTCAACGGACCCAGGGGGCCTGTTACCTTTCCTTAGTGCTAGCCGGTCTCGCAGACAACATTTGCCTTGAAAGGAGAGAGAGATAGGGAGAGAGACTGGTAAAGGGTTAGGAGGGCAGGTGGAGTGGTTGTTTCTGGTTCAAATCTTGGCTCTGTATACCAGTTTCCATCCTGGGCTTCGATGTAAAGCCTTGGCAGAGCTGAAGTTCAGCAAAGGAAGTGCAGTATGAAGGGACACGTGGTTTTATATCCTGTTTGACAGCATGTAGATTTCCATATGTAGGTTCAGGTAGGAGAACTTGTGGCCTGTGGCTGGAGGGCAGAGGCAGATAGAAAGGCAGTCAACGCTGACAGCCTGGTCCTCTGCAGTGTGGGATTGTGTTATTCGGAAGCAGGATTATTCGAAGATGATTCTTTGCTGTCCATTTGTGCAGGTAATCTAGTTCCTTGCTCTCTTTTGATGAGCATCTACCGAGATGCGCTCGTATGATTTCCGTACAGTTGTTATAAGCGCTCTCCTTTCTCTGGCATGTCCCCGGTGGTAGACTCGGCTGTAGTCATTTTGAGCCCTGCAGTTGAAGCCCTGTCTTACCCTAAAGGGTTCAGCCAGCCTCCGAAAGGGAAACGGTTGTGTGACATATGTGCTGTGGATAAGACCGACATTAACTATTTCTAAGGGGGGGGGGGGGGGGGGGGTCGTGTGGAACGAAGTGGAGCAGGGAGGGGGGGGTGCGGGTTGGGTGGCTGGTTGTTGGTAAGGGCAAGTAGAATGGGTATTAAGGTCAAGAAATGATGGGGTGATAGAGGGCCTGAGGGATATCTGGTTTGGTCGTCAAACATGCATCACTTTCGTTTATGCAGTGTGCTTGCAGATTGAAACGTTCCCTTTCATTTTTTCGTATAGTTCTTGACTGCAACTGAAATCGTCAACCTGTCAACGTTAATGAATGTGTACCCATTTTCCTGCAACTGAAACCGTCAAACCTGTCGGGATCTCAGTGTGCGAAACGAACGTTTATTATCCACTTCACCGTTCACTGCCCACGGAAATGACAGTGTTTATATCGTAGAACTTGCTGGACATAGGCCCCCGCTGCACTAGCAGCACTCTCAACATGCCCGATCGGCAAAAAAGATGGCATGGCATGGCAATACATCTTTCCATGTTCTAGCAGTGGATTCAGTCTCGTTTTGCACATTTGGGGAGTAGTGCAGCGAGGCCCGTATGCGGCAATAACGTTTTTCCACAAGGCTTAGGGCATGTACTGGCGGTCTAACTGGGGCAGTGTTGTGTGTGCTATTAGCCAGTGGAGACTGTACCTTGTTGATGGGTGTAATGTCGGTGCATTCCTTCCAGGAAATGTGTCAGGTTCATTGTGGTTCATCTGTAGAGTTTCTGACCATCTTTTCAGTCCCAGGTTGTACCCAAATTTGACTAATTTGACTTTGCTTGTTGTACCCAGCACCGTGCCTTGTACGCGAGGTACGCCAGCATACAAAGAGTACTATGGCAACGCGCGCATATCATTTCGACTAAAAGAAAAGCATTTTTTATCGTCTTTTTTTTTTTTTTTTTTTTTTTTTCCGTTGGGGGTCAGGGGTTGCGAGATGGCTGGTGGGGTCAGACCCTGGTTTCGACCGGGGCATAAAAAACTTCTACAATCCCCTTTAATACCCCTAATACCCTCCCTGTTTGCTCCCTTCTACATCCCATAACCCCCCCAACCCCCCAACCCCTGAACCCTCCTTATACCCCCACTTGTGCATCTCCCTGTCCCTCTCTCTCGCTCATCTTACACTTTTGAGCTCTGGCACTGACACTTGTGGTCTCTCTCTCTCTCTCTCTCTCTCTCTCTCTCTCTCTCTCTCTCTCTCTCTCTCTCTCTTACATGTGCATGCTCCTGTGGTAGAACAGGGGAGAGCCTCTGAAGACGGTAATCGAACGGGGGCGAGGATCTACCCGAAGTAGTAAGTAATCCGTGTGTACACGTGTACGATCGCAGTGGGACCAAACGACCGCGGCGGGACCATTATCCCGACAGGAATCAATAGGGCAGATCACTTATGATTTAAGTGGTTGTAATACAATCTTTCATCAAGCTCGTC